GTCCCAATTACCAATTCAATATCTTGGGCACAGTAATACCAGCAAAATATTATTAAAGAGTAAATAAGTTATATTTTTAAAGAAGTTTTAAAAAGTGCAATATGACATTGCAGTCCACAGGTTATTGTCAACATTGACATTGGACCATATAAGAGGAAAGAGATGGGCAAACATTTGGAATGATTGGTAATTTAACAATGTGTTAAGATTAAATTTCTACAAGTACAAAAAAGACCCAAATAGTTCCTTAAATAAAAGAGACTAGACCAAAATCCTTCCACAATATTTTCTACATTGAAAAGCAGAGATAAAAATATATAAATTTATACTTATATAACTTGTTTGAAAAAGCCTTTCTATATAAGAGAAACCATTAAGGAAAAGATGGATTTAGCTACATTGAAAAAGAAACAAACTTCTGTTTCAAAACCAAAACAAAACAGAAAATATAAACAAAACCAAAAGATAAACAATAAACTGAGAAAAATATTTAAAACATAAATGTCAATGGCTCAAGATCTTCAAATACAGTAAACTTTTATAAATTAAATGACAAAATAAGGGCTGGCCAGTTAGCTCAGTTGGTTAGCACACCAAGGCTCAGGGTTCAATCCCTGTACTGGCTAGCTGCCAAAAAACAAACAAACAAACCCAAAATCAATACCCTGATGAAAACATGGACAAAGGACAAGAACAGGTAAATTTCATGCACACACGCGTGCGCACACACTCTCTCACACACACACACAAACCCCCTCCACATACACAAAAGCTTAGCTAGTAAACATATGAAAAATATTTGACCTTATCAATTGAATAGATGAAAATAAAAACAAGACAGCATTAAGGTTTATAAAAAACGATAATACACAGAATATACAGTGCTTATGAGACTACAGACAAATAAATATTCTCAAACATTGATGATACAAACTGGCACAACACAACCTCTCTGGAAGACAATTTAGCAATAAATATCTTTAAAAATATACACATGCTTTTAACAAACAAAACCAATTTTACCTCTAGAAATTTTTCCTAGGAAATTGTCATGGTTCCTCACAAATATCTGGCTACAAGAATATTTATCTTAATGTAAATTATAATAGTAAAAGAAGGAAACAACCTATAAATTGGTTAGTTGGAAAAATAATGGTACATTCAAAGGATATAATATCATGAAATCATTAAAAATTATAGAGGATGTGAAAAATGTCCACGTTAATGACTGAATAAAGATGCCTAACGGCATGAGAAATTGTTCAGGATGTAATATGGCATACTGGATAAGAGGATGGGTCTGGAGCAGACTGCCTGGGTTCAGATTTTGGATCCATCATTAATCAGGAGTGTGACATTATGCAAGTTAGTAGCTCTCTCTGTATCTCTGTTTCCTAACCTGTAAAATATGTAACTCCTATGAAATAATGGATCTAGGTAAAGTTCATCAATGATTACTTAAAACCATTAGGATGAAGGTTAACAGGGAAGTTTATAATAGATGTATCTTACTGGAAAGAGCATCGATCAATCTCAACATCACTAAAAGTGAGATAACTAGACATTATGGGCCTCCTGACGTCAGGCAATGGGAAGTACAGTACACACCATGGTCTATGAAGTGTTCTTCCTCCCCCAAATTGGACCTGAGTCTACTCAAGTGTCCAGGTCTCTTAGCTTACTGGAAACATGGGGATTTAGGGCCGAGCCCATGGTGCACTCGGGAGAGTGCGGTGCTGAGAGCGCAGCAGCGCTCCCGCCGCGGGTTCTGATCCTATATAGGGATGGCCGGTGCACTCACAACGCTCACTGGCTGAGTGCAGTGCGGCTGGTCTCAAAAAGGACAAAAAAAAAAAAAAGAAACATGGGGATTTAACTCCATTAAAATGAGGTCCAAGAACAATCAAAATAAATTGACAATGATAAAAATTCAGAACAGTGCTTATCTCCAGGTCAGGCACAGACTAGGAAGAGACAAAAGGAAACTTCATGGGTTACTGGAAGTTTCTATATACTGATCTGGTTATAGGTAAATACCTAAAGAACCATTAAGCTATACTCTATAAAATTAGTGCACTTTATATACTTTACTGTATATTTGTAATACCTCAATTTTTTAAAATGAAAAGAAAAAAAGCTCTGGCTGATTTTCCACCATTATCTAGTGGCAGAAAGACAAGCAGGTGTGGCTAGGGAACTAGAAGTGATGCCAAAAGGAAGCAATAGCGTATCGCACCCTGGCTCCTACCTGTAGGCCTGGTTCTCCCACTAAACTCCCACTGCTGCAAAGAGGTGGGACTGGGAGAGGGCAAGGCCTGGACCAATGGAACTGCAGTAGTTATTAAGGAAGCCTTACAAAGTGGCTGTTCATAAGGATTTCCACAACACTAGCAAACTCAGAATACTGACTATATTGTAAAAATTGGCTTTAATTTCACTTAAAGAAGTTAAACAAGTCACCTCATCTATGCGCTTGGACAAGTTGGTAATGTAAATCAGAAACTAGCAGTTAAAGCTTAGGCTATGTTTACAACTGGATACTTGGAAGAGTAGGCTACAGAAAGATTAGAACTTTGAGAATTGATGGAATTTGCTTTGAAATGCCAGAAGACTGTTTTGGAAATTGGGCTAATTATGAGTATAAAAGGAGGAGTAAGACCTCTCTCCCACTCAACCCTTTATCCCCACCTCCACGCTCACCCCACGAAATGAGCTGGACTAGCCAGTGGAGACCGAGAAATGTGCATTTTCAGTGTTCATCATCCTAATAGTAGAGATCTACCAGAGGTTACAGAGAAAATTCATGTTATGTTGACATCATCTATGTATGGTTTACATTTGTTCTCAGATCTGACAATCCCAATGGCACACACAAATAGAAGTCAGAGGTTGCACTAGATCCTGTGATACTTTAAGCTTAACACACCTACTATGACAGAACAATTTCTTACAATGGTGCACTTGTCTGGTATGTTCTAGACCCAAATTCAGGACTAAGGCAAATACAGAGAAGTTTTTCTTCAAAGAGTAGAAAAAAAATTTTTTTTAATTTCACTCTCATCAGATTCTCCTTTCACTGATGAGAAAGGAGAAGTGGCTGGAGATTTAAGTTCATCTTTAGCCAGAACATTCACCCAGAAATTAGGAAAATTAAGGGTTATGCCCACAGAAATAGTTCATAGCTATGGTTATAAATCCTCTGAAATGCTTGTGAAAGAGGAATTGAATGTGATCTTTTAATGCAAATGAAAAAACTCTAGTTTGTTCTCCAAAATCTTCTCCTAGTGTGTGAAGAGTTAAATTTCAAGTTTTACTGTAGGTTATGGACAAACAAGCCAAACTGAAGTTGAGATCACTTCTCTGCTTTAGGTAACATGTTAGTTGATATATGATGAAATTACTAAAAAGACAAGGACAAATATATCAGTACCTGAGAAGTGCTAATCTAACTTAAAGAAGGAAAGCAGTCCAGTTCAGTATGGCATTATTTTTAAACCAAAATATTAACCACTGACAGCTATACTGTGTAACACAATCTGATATAAGACATGCATGGTGAGAATACAGACTCCAAACAGAACCTAATTCTCAAAATTCAACCTGGCAGGGCCGGCCCGTGGCTCACTCGGGAGAGTGTGGTACTGATAACACCAAGGCCACGGGTTCGGATCCCATATAGGGATGGCCAGTTAGCTCAATGGGTGAGCATGGTGCTGACAACACCAAGTCAAGGGTTAAGATCCCCTTACCGGTCATCTTTAAAAAAAAAAAAAAAAAATTCAATCTGGCAGCTGCTGGTTCAAATGGATACTACACACCACTGGCCCTCACCTGAATGACTGGTTTGCCTTATTTTAAGGCTTCTAGAGATATTCAGTGTGGCAGTCAATCCTTAAGTCAATGGAACACAGGGTAAAAAAAAGTAATCTCTCAATACTATGTTATACGGCCCAGTACAAAAACATCAAAAGTGTACTTACTGGCTTATGGAGAAATTCATTAGTTCATCTTAATTTAACCTCTGTCTTTAGAGTGAACAATTGTTTTCTTTGACCTTGCTCCCTAGTGTCCCACCTCTTAGCTCCATAAGGGTACTCAATAAATAGTAAATAATAAAGCATTTATCTTCTTTAATTTTTAATCTTTTTAAAAATTTTAATCTTTCTCTTAGGCAAAAATAAAAAGGTACTGAGTCCTTATTGTGTTCCAAACACTATTCTAAGTATTATCTTATTTACTCCTTACAAGAGCCCCAAGAGTAAGTGCTATTAAAATCCTCATTTTATATGTGAGGACACTGAGGAACCAAGAGGTTCAGAAACATTCCTGTGATCACACAGCCTATAAGAAGCAGTTCAGGATTTGAACCCAGGCAGTATAACTTTAGAGCCCATGTTTTTAACTATTCCTCTCAGCTTGTATAGCCTAGAGCAATGTTCTTCAAGCTGATGGTTCCATTCTCAGCACTACCACTTACCAGCTGAATTAGTCTTAGACAAATTGCTGAAGGTGCTTGAGTCACAGTCTCCTCATCTATAAAATGGGTTTAACAACAGCCTGTAGGACTTGTTGGGAAATTGGATGAGATTATATATGTTGACAACCTAGCACATGTAGACATTCAATAAGAGTTAATACTCTCCCTTCCCAGCTTGACATTCCTCTTTTTTTTCTTTTTCTTACCAACATTCCTCTTCTTTTCATGCTTGCTGCTGCTCAACAAGTATGAAACTTCTCACTCCAGCTCCACTGAAAATCGGGGCCCAAAAAAGCTCCAGGATAAGGAGACTAAGCAGTTGTAGGAAAATGGACGCTATTGCTGTCAGTCTCTCAGTAGGCATTTGGATATTTGCTACATCCCTAAACAGGGACTAGTTCATCTCAGCCCCTAAACTGCCCTCACCATACTAGTATAACAAGCCTCCAGGTATACAGACTTTAGTTTCAAAGCCATATTGCTCCTCCACACTGTTCCAGATGGATGGAACAAGAAAACTCACCTAATGCCCTGACAATTCGCATCAGGACTTCCCCAACTTTCATTCTGGTCTCTGGCGTGTGCTTGTCTTTGCCACTGTCATATTGAACCAACAGGTCAAGTAAGATTTTCTCAGGGTACACATCTGAGAGCAGGGCAACTCCTGGAATGGAAAACAAAAAGAAAGGATTCATTACTGTCTAGGATTGAAAGGCAAATAAACCCAGACATTCTGTGATGGGATGAACCCAGAGACACTTAAATCCCCCTCTGTAATTCTACCAGCAAGGGCTGCCCTTTATTTGGAGAGACAACATAGTGAGTGGAAAGAAGATGGGTCTGAGAGTTCAGACTCCTGGATTTGTCTAGTCTTAGCCTGATATGATCTCTAGGTCACTCCCAGCGTTGACATTCTATGATTTATGGATTAGGGACTCTTAAAGCAGGAACTACATATCATGACAGGGATTCACTCAGCAGTGGGAGGAGACCAGATAGAAAGCCCTCTAAAGACCCTCCCAATTTGAGACTATAAAGTTCATTTAGTATTGTCCCTACCAACACATCAGCCTGAAACGCAGCAGCAGTGCCTCCAGACTTTTCTGTAGTTCTCTATTCCAGTACAATGTATAATTTCTCTCTGCAAAATTGTCAGTGATGAGAGCAATTTCCACAAGGAAACATTTTCAGAGCATACTGGGCACGATCAATATCAGACCCAAGCTAATGGCTGAGTTTCCTGATCAACAGAAATAGGGAAGATCTGTCCTAGAATCTCCCTTCCTAGGATTTGCTGATCCCTTCTCCCATCCATGGCAGTGCTTCCTAAATGTGTAACCTGCAACAGTGTTATCATTACTTGAGTCCTGGCCCATATTGAGCAAGCTTTACAGGGGTGAAGGAGATACGTCCCAAGACAGGACCAGAATAAAGCCCCTGGTCTCAAAACTGTATAAATACAAATCCTATTATTCAGGGGGTAAAGAGCTTACATACTTCTAAAGAACAATGAAGAAAAAGAAAAAACAAAACAAAATAAAGAAGGAAATAGGGGGTTCAGAATCCAGGATGAGAATCCTCATCACCTCTACTTCAACCACCCTGGTCCATCATTTCTGGTCTGGATTTTTCAATAATCCCCTAATTGGTCTCCCTGCTTCTACCCTTTTCCCTCATTGCAGCTAGAACTACCTGGTTTAGAACATGTCATGCCCCTTCATTGTCCTGCCCAAACCCCTCACTGGTTTCTTGTCTCCCCTGAATATGAGTACTCCCATCCCCCCACCAGCTTTTGCTCACTCTCTGACTCCATCTGTCATCACGCTCTCCCTCACTCACTGTCATCCAGCAACTGTGGCCTCCTCATTACTCTGAGAGGAGACCAAGCTGCTCCTGCCCGGCAGCTTTGCCTCACTGCCCCTGCCTCAGCTGCTCCTCCTCTGCTTAGCAGCACAGCTTGCTCCCAAATGCCCCTCATGTCTCTGTTCACATACCACATTTATCACCTGTACAACGGCAGCCTCCGTCCCCTACTACTCATAGTCACTCTCACACCGCTTCATTTTCCTTCTTAGCACTTAACATTATCTGACATGTTATACAGTCCCTTATTTATTTTCTGCTCTCCTCTTTGGAATGTGAATTCTACAACGATTTTATTTTGTTCCCTGCTGTATCCCCAGTGCCTAGAAGAGTGCCAGCACATGGCAGGTGCTCAATAACTATTTGTTAAATGAATGAATGAATGACTAAAAAGTGCTCAAAGATACAGTCTTGATATAAATTTCAGGAATTAAAAGAGGATGGAGAGGGAGTAATATAAATGCTTGAAAAATCTATAATTATTTTTCATCTGATTTTACCATTCTCCTTGTTAGGAAAATAGAATAGTTTGGTCAGGGCCCTCACCTCGTGTCCTGTTGGGTGTGGTTCAGCATTCTCTGTAAGCAAATTGTGTGTGTGTGGAGTTAGTGCACATGCGCACGAATGTATCTTTTTAGTTTTATTGCTATTCTTGTGTTCTTCAGAGAGTGAGAGTAGTTGGTGAAGCAGGCAGGTGGGCGACGACTTCGGGTGTCTGCCTGGTGCAGCCATGCTTTCCAACCTATGGCTCCAAGGACCTTTTGGCCAGTTACCTAGCTCATAGACCTGCGTGAAGGGGTCTGGGGACCCAGCCTGGCGTATGAAAGGTTTGTGACCCAGTCTGTGAATGGGCTTGAGGGGTCTGGGAGCTCCAGACCCAGCCCTAGCTCAACAATTGGCCCAGTTGGTGCAGGATTACCGGCAGGTAAAAGAGCCTGACGACTAGCATGGTCATGTAGCTAGACACTCCTGCTTACATGGACAATCTTTCAAGCAAAGTCTACCTACCATTTTCTATGTTACAGGTTGTGATTCTATTCTCTTATAAATTACGTACACATTCTCTCTTCACTCACTCATCTGCTGCATCTGGTGAGTTGTGCACCTGCTGAGGGCTGGACCTATCTGCCCATCCTCTTTTCTACCTTGCCCACCCCCACCTATTCTTTGCTTCTAAACAGCCTGGGAAGTCTCTGCATGTGGTCCCAAGCCACACTTTACTGTATGTGGGTTCCAATTTTATACAAGTAGAAACTCTGCGTTTAAGAGTTTCAGGCTGTGGCAGAATGTGAAGTAGTCAGTTCCCTGTTGGCAAAATGCAACATTGTAATCGTAGTTCCCTCTATCATGTAAAATGATGGAGAAGTCCCTTGGAGGTCGAAGGTGGAGTGAGGGAACATTCTAGATAGTAAAAATGTTTACGGCTTAAATAAATAGTGTACTAAGGGAGAGAAAGGAAACAACTTCTAAGCTACAAAAAAGCCCCCAAAGAAAAGGGAATTGGTAGGTGATACCTACAATTCTGGCAGGCACTGTATCACTCATATAGGACTTTTACAAGGCCTGGAATATATTAGAGATCTGAAGCTATCCCAACCACTTCTTCATGAGAAGTTCCCAACTCAGAAATCTGGTGGAATTGTTTCCTTTTAGGAATATAGTTGTGATTTAATAATGGAAAACAGTGGCAAAATGGGATTTGCTTTGTAAAACTTTGATCTATATCTAGTTTTTCTGAAACCCATCTATTACTAAAGTTCCTCCTACTGTCTATGCCTATTTTCACTCATTAGTCTTTAGCAGAGAACAGTTACTTACTTCTACAAACGTATTATCCTGGCATATTCTTCAAAACCAATGAGCTCTTGACTCCTCTCTGTACAGGGCAGACGTGTGATTGCACACAGCATCTACTCTTTTCTGGTAACAACACTCTGGTGTTCCTCTGGGAAATATCCTTGTCCACTCTCAGTCTAAGTGGTCTGAGTGGGCTAACTATTAACTTTCTCTCTCTCTAGGTGTGTACTCATATCCCAGGCTGGCCAATCAGGATATGCCATCCTACCCCCCGCTTCATAACTGGTTCAGGAACAGGCAATGAGATTTGATCTTGGAACCCACACTGGAACTACTAGGAAAGATAAGTTCCCGTCCCCATCCCCAAAGTCATTAACTGGAGCTGCCAGTGGCCCCCATGTAGAGCGAGGCTATCTGAAAATGGCACTAACACAGAGGAGAGTCAAGACAAGACAGTTAGTGTGAAGTATACATAAAACAAATGTACTTCACAGGGCCTGGTTTTCCAAAGCCTTGCAGTTTCAAATATTGACCTTGCAAAGGACAGGAAAATTTCCCCAGGCTATATAGTCTCTGTTGTAAGATAAAGAATTGGAACACAGCAAGGGTGCTGGCTCAAAGACAGACAGGTTACTGATTGATATGTAAAGATACTGGGAAATTGCTGTAAGAAGAGAATGTTTGCTAAAATCAAGCTTTTGTTAGTAGATTGACTTAATTGCATTACAGAATGTCACCTCACTGAATGTTACCAGCTTCTATTGTTAAACTTGTTAAACTGTACTTAGCAAAACCCCACCTATGTTCTCTTCCTGTAACTTCCTAGTCTGGAGAATAAATGCAGGAAGAGAACCCCAATTCAGGGTTCATTTCCCAAATGGAAAGAATGCCTCTATCTTGAGCATTCCAGGAGATTAACCCCTTTTCAGGGCTTCTCATTGCTCAGAAGAGATGGGATTTGAGTAATCTTTGGTGGCACTGTCACCCAGGGGAAAAGGTGTGACAAATCCATGGGAGGCAAAGCAACAAGTTAGAAAAAGGAAGAAACCTAATGGCATCCTTTGATATCCTCAATCCAGCCATACTTCTACCCACTAGAATTTCTGGATACACAGGCCAATAAACACCCTTTTATGCGTATGCTAGTTTGACTTTTTTTTCAACCAAAGGATCCTAACATTTTTTTCTTTAATTTTTTTAATTGAAACAATTGATTATACATATATGTGGGGTACAGAGTTGAATATCAATACTTGTGTATAATATGTGATGTTTCTTTTTTAGATTAAATGATTTTTTTTTCAGATTTTTTTTTTTTTTTTTGCTCTTCCTATAATGCCAAACTTTCGACTCCACTAGGGAGCTTTAAATTCTCCCAATCTTCCATAAAAAGATTGTGAAGTAATGCCCTCTTTCTAAGAGCAGGACCAACGCCACTTAAGATAGCCCCTCCATTGTGTGAAAGTTAGGTGGGAAACTGGGGGTGGGACGGGAGGAGCTCCACTAACTGCAAAATTAGCTCATGTACTGTTGGCTTGCTTGCATTGGCCAATACCTCTTGGTGTGGTGATCGGCTGACCGAGTTGCTGCGCTTGCAGCTTTAAAAACCAAGAACAAAGATGGTTCAGGGCCGCACCTTGAATTGGCTGGTGCAGTCCCGGCCACTGGAAATAAAAATCTTTTTCTCTTTTTCTATACCAGTCTCCAAGGGTGATTTTCTCCCAACGCCTATAACAATTGCCAATAGCAAAGTACGGTTTCCTCACTTCCCACAGTCCTAGGTACGTTAGCAACTGTCCATTTTCCTGCTGACCTGTTCCACAGACTGCTGCCAAACAGCCCTCTGACTGTTGGTTAAGTTTTACCTTCTAGGATACAGTTGCCACCTATTAGTTTATAAATCCCTGGAGAGGAAGGGCAGTTCCCTCCTTACTCACCAAGCAGTGAAAAGAATCATATATAATGGTTGAGACTGTATAACAATGAAAGGGATGAAATTTTTGT